TTGTTCCTATGTCTAAAGTCTAAAGGCAGCCTGATTTAACCCAGTGATTCTTACCACCCTCTGCCTTCAGGCAGGTCTTCCCGCTGCCATGGGTAGTTGCCCTAGGGCCTCTGGGGAATGAGGGCCATTTTTGAGGTTGTATTGGCATGTGGAAGGAATAAACCACACTGGTCCAATGTGAGTTGACAGATGTAATTAGCCTGGGATATCCATCGTGGCCTGTTTTCCTTGAGAGACCCTTCTAGACATATACATGTCCAATGACATCACAGTTTCATTTACTCATACAAGCCCCTTTGACTTGTCAAACCCTCGATCAATAGAAGGAGTTTTAGCCTATATTTCCCATTAAAATTGCTTGGAATTAAGATTTCAATGTGAAAATCTGTGGAACTATTGAGAATGTGTTTGAGAAGTCTTCCAACCTTTTAATGTAGTTGAGAGGATATATAGTAGTTGAAAGTTAGAAGAAGCACTTTATTTTTTCTTTCAAAATTAACTGCAAATAGTCTTTCTTTCTTGAGCTCTGGACAACTGTTACAAAGTCACCAAATTACTTTCTGTAGCTTGTGTCTTTTAAATAGCACATCCAGCCCTCTCAATTCCTGGCAAATAGATGGGGAAGAAATGGAGGTAGTGACAGATTTTATCTTCCTGGGCTCCAAGATCACCACAGATGGGGACTGCAGCCAAGAAATTAAAAGACGCTTGCTCCTGGGGAGGAAAGCTATGGCAAATCTAGATAGTATACTAAAAAGCAGAGACATCACCCTGCCAACAAAAGTACGTATAATCAAGGCCATGGTTTTTCCAGTTGCAATGTATGGCTATGAAAGTTGGACCATAAGAAAGGCTGAGCGCAAAAGAATTGAGGCCTTTGAACTATGGTGCTGGAGAAGACTCCTGCGAGTCCCCTGGACTGCAAGGCAATCAAACCGGTCAATCCTAGAGGAGATCAACCCTGACTGCTCTTTAGAAGGCCAGATCCTGAAGTTGAAACTCAAGTAATTTGGCCACCTAATGAGAAAGAAGGACTTAATGGAGAAGAACCTAATGCTGGGAAAGATTGAGGGCAATAGAAGAAGGGGACAACAGAGAATGAGGTGGCTGGATGGAGTCACTAAAGCAGTAGGCATGAGCTTAAATGGACTCCAGAAGATGGTAGAGGACAGGAAGACTTGGAGGAACGTTGTCCATGAGGTCGGACACGACTTCACGACTAACAACAACATAGTGTTTTAATTAAAAAATCGTAATTATATAATTGTGATTGTGGTGTTCATTCAGTCCAGTAGCCAATCCAGATTTTGGCTCTATCCTTTATGCATAATGCTTTTCATGTAGTTTTAAAGCAAATTTATTTATTTATTTCTTAAGTAATTCCACTTTTTCTCTAGGTCTTCAACATGGTGTACATAGTACTTCTGCCAGTTTTCCCCACACAACACCTTTATGAAATAGGTTGTCTGAGAAAGAGAAATTGGTCCAAAATACCCAGCGAGCTTCCATGGCTAAAGCTAAAGATGATTTCATTCTGGATCTCCCCAGTCTTAGTCTAACACAGTAGTTCTCAACCTTTTTAATGCCGTGACCCCCAACCGGTCGTAAGTCGAGGACTACTCAACCGGTCGTAAGTCGAGGACTACTCAACTGGTGCAGCACCGTTTGCAGAATGGGACTTTTGGCGGGCTCAGCAAGGCAGAGACAGCCTGGACAATTCCTATTGGCTTTTGAAAGCCAATAGAATTAGACTCTATTCAAAGGGAGTAGCACAGCTAAGGAAAAGGGGGAAAAAATGGTGGACTGCATTTGGCGACCCCCGTGAAATGGTCGTTCGACCCCAAATAGGGTCCCGACCCACAGGTTGAGAACCACTGGTCTAACATCTTAATTCTACCCCATAGTATAGAATTAAGATTTAAGACTAAGATTCAGGAGATTCAGTATCAAATCATCTTTAGTTTTAGCCATGGAAGCTTACTGGGTATTTTGGACCAATTTCTCTTTCTCAGACAACCTACTTCATAAAGGTGTTGTGTGGGGAAAACTGGCGGAAGTATTATGTACACCATGTTGAACACCTAGAGGAAAGGTGGGATTACTTAAGAAATATTCAATTGATTAATATCATTTGTCCTCTATGGAGACTGATATTTTCCAACTGGTACCTACCTTATCTAGTGAAATAGAAAAATAATTTTAACCAATTTGAATAAAGAATTTTAGATGTAGAAGCCTGCTAACATGAGAAGGAACTTACCTTGGGCAAAGTAAATTGTCTGCTTTAATATTCATATGGAATATAACTTTTTATTACCTTTATCTTGCAGAAATGAAATGTTTTATAGATATCGACAGTATATTTTGTAATAGTTGATAAGGAAGGATCATTTCTGTGAAGAAATGCTAGAGAGATGAATCTTAGCTCTTTTGCATCTGGCAGTTGTACTACATTAGATATGTATTTCACAAGGGACTCCCCCCCCCCTTTAGGCAGATTCCATGCTTGGAATCATTAGGCAACGTTGCAAATAGAACTGTTAATATGGTGTAATAATGCCCTCATACAAAGTTTTAGGGAGAGTATACTTGGACCATGATATACTACTCTTAAGAAAAATATTTTAGACAAGGTGCAAAATAGAGCAAGCAAAACAACTAGGGGAACAGACTAATATCCTGTTGAGAAAAAACCACAGTAGTTCAAACACTTCAGCTTGGAATGAAGGAAGGTAAAGAGAAACATGATAGAAATATATGTTATTCGGTGGTGTTTAAAAGTTTGTGACTCTTTTTGAATGTTCACTGTTTCTGCAGAAATATGAGCTAAAAATGATCTGTTCTCCGTCCAAGTTCAAAAATTAAATTCAGAGAGTCCAATTAAAGACCTTAGTTAAAAATATTTAAATATTGAAAAAGGATTTCAAAATTTTTATAAACCATTGTTGTAAAGTGCCTCAGTTATGTGAAAAGGAGAAGTTTGTATCTCATAGTTTCACTCACTGAAATTAAACGCAAGAATTCAGATCCAAGAGGCATAATCACACAGGGCATAATTTGAAATTTGCTAATAATACTTGTGCTAATGTCAGTGAAACTGTATTAAAAATACTAGAGGATCAGAGGCAACTAATATTTATGGTTATTTATTACCTGCTATATCATTGGCAGTGTGCCTTAAATGGGTTTTAGGCAATTGACTGTAAAAGGATCTATTGCTTTTCAATCCAAGCTTGTGAGCTTTCCAAGTGTATCCAGATGGCTGATCCATCCTGATTACCATTAGATTTGGTCTAATCCTCCTACTAGTAGTACGCAGAAGAGATTGTCAAATGTTCATCTTATGAAGGGAAAATTTTAAAACTGATCATGAAAAGACAAATGTAATTTGAAAGAAAAACAATCTTAAATTTAAGGTATTATCAAACTATAATTTATTTGTCTTCCTAAAGAAAATGAAGTGAAGAGACAAAAACTTATTTCCATGCTACATGAATTACTGAAGGCTTTGAACAATTTTGTCTATATATGTTCACTTATAAAATTAGCCGTTGGACATAAATTTTAGTTTCTTTCCTAGTTTTTTTAGTCAATATATGAGGTCAGAAATTCTACAACTGCTATTAACTAACTCATTTGCTATAATTAAACCTGATTAATCTTGCTCTAATGCCATGTTAGTGGAACATGTTTCATTTTGCCTTTCTTTTTATTCTTTTAGAATTTTTTTTCTTAGGCCTGTAGGTTGGTGCCTGTACTGCTAACGTTTATACAGCATTAGCAATGTCAGCATTAATAAATACAGTATAACTTTGTTATAGAGTAAGCAGTCAGCAATCAATCACAGTTTTTGATTAGGCAGCCAATACTCACATACCCAACCTGATTTTGATCAAATGTCTTTGAACTGCTATGTTGCATTGCAGTTCCAGAATTCCCAGACAACATGATCAGAATTGCAGCATATCTGGGAGAAGATTATGCTAATGAAGTCTGAATTTATCATCACATAATGCAGATGCACATTTTTAAAAATAGTTATATGCAAAAAGTTTAGAACTAGACATACAGCGTTAAGATCTCAATCATGCCATGTCTCTGAAAATCTGTCTCTGCTGGTTGGCTTGAGGATCAAATACGAGAGTTCCACACTGGAGGTGGTTGCTAGATTGATGGCAAACTCCACCTACCCTCCCCCACTTGCTCTCTACTCTCCACCCATCCATCTTTTTAGTTATTATATTGATGTATTATTCTCATTGTGTTCTTTTTCATTGTTTGTTTTATTATTCTATTATTTTACTTTTGTTCTGTTTATACTTCCATTTTTCTTCCTTTTTATTATTGTAAGCCACCTAAGATAACCTCATGGTGAGATAGGTAGCAAATATATTTAACAAATAATGATAATCTAGTATGTATATTTAAAATCTAGTATGTATATTTAAAATTTACACCCTATCAACAGTATCAACAGCAGAGTTTCTAGATTCTATCTCCAAGGACTTGAAATGGACACCCAACATTAGAACCATCATTAAAAAGGCACAATAAAGAATGTTCTTCCTGTGTCAAATCAGAAAGCTCAAACTGCCCAGGGATCTGCTGATATAGTTCTATAGAGGAATTATTGAGTCTGTCATTTGTACCTCAATAACTGTCTTGTTTGGCACAACAACCAAATAGACTTCAATGGATAGTAAGGACTGCAGAAAAAATGATCCCAACCAGCCTGCCTTACATTGAGGATTTGTATACTGCACGAACCAGAAAGAAGGCTAAGAAAATATCTGCAGATCTCTCACATTCTGGACATAATTTATTTCAACTTCTCCCCTCAGGACACCACTAAAGAGCTTTACATGCCAAAACAACTAGACATAGTTTTTTTCCGCGTGCTATCACTGCTGAACACTTAATTCCCACAGCACTGTCTCATTTCTCATCTTTTTTCATGTTCTCATCTTTCCTAATATCTTCTCCTATTGGTTTCTTATGGTTTATCAATTGTTGTTTATAACCTATGATTAATGATTGTATTTATTATTATAACCTATTATTTGCTGTTTATATGTGAGCTTAATGTACCGGAGACAAATTCCTTGTTTGTCCGATCACACTAGGCTAATAAAGAATTCTACCCTATCCGACCCTACCCTACACTATCCTATCACTGAATCACCAATTCTTTGTGGCTACTTTCAGAGAGAATCTCCCAAGCCGCTTCAAATTTAAGGAGTATTGTCCAATGGTATTCCGAAATCTCCGGGAAAGATTTGGGATTGATGATCAGGACTATCAGGTAGAGAACAAACTTTTTATTGAGATATGTCAGTTATATGAATAATTGAGGAATGAAAGTATTTCTAATTTTGTGGTAATTAGAAATTAATCTGGTGCTACAATAACTGGTATCAGTGAATCAGACTGAATTATTTATTATATTGGTTGCATTTGTATTTTCCTCCAAATAGTTGTGTATTTGAAATATACCAGGCAGAAAAAAATAGGAGATAGGACATGGGTTTGGAGAAGGGATGATAAAGATAAAAGTATGAATAAAGAAAGATACAAAAGAGGGCAGCAGAAACTTATACTAAAGATTAGATATCGTATGTAAAGCAGAGTTCCCCAACCTTTCTGGCTTTGTGGACCAGTGGGTGAGAGGGAGAGGGAATGGTTCTGTGTGAGCTGTGAGCAAGTGTGTGTATATGTGCGCATAGCTCTATTTGTGCAAGCGGCAGGCAAGTGTACCTGCTACTTGTGCAAATAGAGCATGTGCGTGTGCTTGCCTGCTACTCGCACATGTGGGGATGTGCACACGCTCACCCACTACTTCCACAGCCTGGTTCCGAATGGTTCAAGGCCGCCAGTAGTGGGCTGCAGCCCAGGGGTTGGGGACCCCAGATGTAAAAAAGTTTTTTATGCACAGAGCAAACACATTGTGGCACAGAGATTTAGCAGAACCATTTTGAGTGGGCTGAGTTCAACCAAATTAAAATCTGGAATATTTTGTTTTGGGTTACAACCAAAACAAACTAAGGCCTGCAGGGTGAATAGACAGAGGCCTAGAACCTCACTTTGCTCTCTTTAATTTCCTTCTCCACATCATCTATATGCTACCTTAATCGGTGAGATGATACATCGTAGAGGAATAATTTTTGAATCAAATAGGCTAACTTATAGAATGTGTCCAAAATCTGGGATTTCCCAGGGAATGACATTTGGGAAAGTTGTGGCTACTTCTATGGTCACATGATCTTTATTTGTGATGTTCTGTAACAGTTTCCCAACCAGTCTTGCAATCTCTTGTTCCTTTTCCCACTCGCAGCAGCTGCTTACCGGCCTGCTGGAAATGGAAGTGAAGGAAAGATTTCCAATGGTCCCTGCAAGATTCCCATTAGGAAACTCAATGGGGAAGCTTGCAGGGACCATTGGAAGTCATTCCTACTCCCTCTGTTTTTTTCCCTCTCTTTCTTTTTCTGGGTCTAAACAGATACACAGAAATATGAGCTATGGGTGTCTAGTTTCATACAAGTGTGGCATACCCAGTTGCTCTTCTCTTCCCCATCATTTCCCAGTATAGATTTTGTTCTCTTATCTCCACACAGAATTCTGTGACCAGGAGTGCTCCAGTATATAATGATAGCCATGGGCGGTGTGGAGTTCGTTTTCTTACCACCTATGACCGACGGTTTGTCATCAAGGCAGTGTCAAGTGAAGATGTTGCAGAGATGCACAACATTCTAAAGAAATATCACCAGGTGAGATATGTGTAGGAAGAAAGTATACTGTTTTGATGGACATTTTAGTAGATGCTCATATTTTGGGGGACCCTTCTACAGAAATTTTCCTGTTCTCCCAGCAAGAGAGAAAGAAGAGGCTGAAAAAAAAGATTGTTTCTGCCAGTTTATGAGATTATTGTAAGCATAACCTATGAGTTATGCTGTGTTATTTTTATTTAGAAGAGACATCAAACACAGCTGAGCCCAGAGTTTTTTTCCTCAATTACTTTTTCACTTTCCAGTTACTGGAAACAGCTCCCATAATTAACATATTTTGTGATGAAGAAGCAACATTCCAAGAGGAGGAACTGGGATCTCAAAAGAATAGCTCCATTAAACCATTTTACCACCCAAATGTACAGCTTTTGTTTTGTATTATGGGGATATTTTTTCTTTATCCTTCATTTATTTTATCCTGAAATTTATTTTATTTGCATTTGTTTTCTCTATTCAGACATTCTGGCTGCATTATCAAAGAGTTCTAAACCAATAGGCTCTCTTGAATAACTCTTAGGCTCGTACTTGAGGTGAATGGAGGGAGAGTGGTCTATTCAGGACAGTGGAAGCTTTAGGTTAATAATCAGAAGATCACCTAATTGCAGAAAATGATTTTCTTCATGATAACTGAAGAGATATGACCTTAGAAAAATGTGGCTGGAATAATTATTTTCTTGTCATTATCAAATTTTATTTGGGTGAAATAAGGCTCAGAAATGTTTTTTTTATTTCTAAGATTAACCTTTATAGCAAAACAATTATGCTTTACCAATGTCATATTTCTCTTTGTCCTTTTGATTTCATTTATTAGAAATAATTTAGTATATCAGGTTATATTATGAAATATTGATACTTAAAAAGTACCTGAAATGCCCTTTTAAATTTTCCTTCTGTAGCAGCTCCGAAAACCTCTCCATTTAAACTCTGCTGGCAGCTTTTAGACTACACTAATTGGTTATATATTCTCTCCTTTTTTTCCTTATTCCCTTCAGTTCATTGTGGAATGTCATGGGAATACACTTTTACCCCAGTTTCTTGGCATGTACAGGCTTACAGTAGATGGTGTGGAAACCTACATGGTAGTCACCAGGAATGTGTTTAGTCACCGGTTGACAGTGCATCGAAAATATGATCTCAAGGTGAGCATCTCCGAAGTTCAGCAGTGTCCTGGCCTCAAAAAAAGTGCATGCTTGTAAGTTTAGAATCATAAGTAGACACTTGAGTCTTGAAATTGTGAAGGAAGTAAGGTATCGTTTGAAAAATACTATTTCTGTGTACTTCACATAATCCTTGACTTACAACCATTTGTTTAGTGACCATTTGAAGTTACAATGCCACCCAAAAAACTGACATGATCATTTTTCACACTTGGGGCCATTGCAACATCTCCATGTTCACATTTGAATGCTTGGCAACTGGTTCATATTAATGACAGTTGCAGTGTCACCTTTTGTGACCTTCTGACAAGCAAAGTCAATGGGGAAGCCAGATTCACTTAACTGTGTTACTAAATTAACAACTGCAGTGATTCACTTAACAACCTTGGCAAGAAAGGTCATAAAATGGGGCAAAACTCATTTAACTACTGTCTTGCTTAGCAATGGAAATTTTGCACTCAATTGTGATCATGTCAAGGACTATCTTTATATTCATATGATTTGGTTTCCTTGTATAAGAATGTTGCTTTTCTCTGAGGGTTGAGTCCAGTAGACCATAGCTAGACTAAAACCTTTAGGCCTGGTGCTGATTTTGTGTTCTGTAGGAGTTTTATGCTGGAAGAGGAAAGCTTCACCACAGAGTTAAAAGGAAAAAGATTATTTCCAGACTTGCTGTACAAAATGAGATGTGGTGATGTTTACTAGTTGTATCAAAGTGTTTTTAGTTCCTGTGATTTGCTAGTATAGAAACCAAATTTGTTATTCCCAATCTTCCTCCCGAGATTGGGATTGCTAAAAGAGATTGGAGGCTAAAGTAAATATTTTGTTTTGAATAATTGTGACTTTTTCAGAAATTTTTAGACTAATCCTTTGGAACTGTTTTGGTTTCATGGAATCTCATGACTGTTTGCAAACTTCTCTTAGCATATAATGCAAAGAGTAGCTGACAGATGTGAAATATTATTGCATATATTCCTGCACCACACATCCCAAAAAAATTCATACAGTAGTGTATAGATGTGCTTGATTTCCTAGATCAAACATGGTGATGGTTTTAAGATGATTAGTTTTTGATTCATAAAGATGAGAGAATCCAGGTGTTTTAATCTGTTGTATGAACCTGGCTATCCACAGAGTCATAATGTGTTCGTTTATTGGACATACTACAAATTGCATCAGTCTTCACATAAAAAGAAATTATAGCCCAACATACCAAAATAAACATTGCAAGAGACAAACTAGAAACAAAAATTAAAATAAGCAAGAAAATTGTAAGAGAACCTATCTGACCTTGACGAATATAAATCACTGGGACCTGACAGATTACATCCCAGAGTTTTGAAGGAGCTGGAAGATACTATCTCAGAACCATTGCACCATATCTTTCATAAATCCTGGAGAACCGGGGAAGCACCTGAGGATTGGAAAAGGGCTGATATGGTTCCCATCTTCATGGAAAAAAAAAAAAAAACAGACCCAGGAAACTACAGACCAATCAGTTTAACATCAATACCTGGAAAGATCCTAGAAAAGATAATCAAAAACAGATCTGTGAACAACTAGAAGCAAACAAAGTTATAACCAGTAGCCAGCACAGGTTTGTTAAACACAAATTATGCCAAACCAATCTTATTTCATTCTTTAATAAAGTGACTAAACCAGCAAAATGCTATGGACATAGTATACTTAGATTTCAGTAAGGTATTTGATAAAGTAGACCATAATCTACTCCTTGATAAGCAAGAAAAAGGTGGAATAGACTACATCACCATCAGATGGATCTGTGTCTGGCTGGCAAACCATACTCAATGAGTAGTTCTCAACAGCACTACATCCACATGGAGAGAAGTAAGCAGTAGGGTACCACAAGGTTCCGTCTTAAACCCAGTACTCTTCAATATCTTCATAAATGACTTAGATGAGGGAATAGAAGGGGAACTCATCAAATTTGCAGATGACACCAAACTGGCAGGAGTAGCCAACACCCCAGAAGACAAACTGAGGATCCCAAAAGATCTTGACAAACTTGAACAATGGGCCCTATCCAACAAAATGAGTTTCAATGTGGAGAAAAACAAAATTTTACATTTAGGTAGGAAAAATCAAAGGCACAAGTACAGATTAGGTGAGACCTGGCTCACAAAAAGTAACTGTGAGAGGGACCTTGGAGCCCTAGTGGACGATCACTTGACTATGAGCCAGCAGTGTGCAGGCAGCAGCAAAAAAAGCTAATAGAATCCTGGGTTGTATAAACAGAGGCATAGAATCAAGATTACGCAAAGTATTAGTACCGCTTTATAAAACCCTAATAAGACCACACCTGGAATACTGCAACCAGTTTTGGTCACCATATTACAAAAAAGATGTTGAGAGTTTGGAAAAAATTCAGAGAAGAGTAACTAAGATGATTGAAGGCCTGGAGACTAAAACAGAGGAAGAACGGCTGCGGGACTTGGGTTTGGCTAGTCTAAAGAAAAGAAGAAATAGGGGAGACATGATAGCAGTATTCCAGTATTTGAGGGACTGCTACAAGGAAGAGGGAGTCACATTATTCTCCAAAGCACTAGAGGGCAGGACAAGAAATAGTGGTTGGAAACTGATCAAAGAGAAGCAACCTGGAATTAAGGAAAAACTTCCTGACAGTGAGGACAATTAACTGGTGAAACAGCTTACCTCCAGAAATCATGGGTGCTCCATCATTGGAGGTTTTTAAGAAGAGACTAATGAGTCCCTTGTCTGAGATGATATAGGTCCTCCTGCTTGAGCAGGGGGCTGGACTAGAAACCTTCCAAGGTCCCTTCCAGATTCTACTTCTATTCCTATTCTATTCTATTCTATTCTATTCTATTCTATTCTATTCTATTCTAAATGTAGTAAATCTAGATAAGATTTAGCATGTTCTTTGAATCCTGCTGATCTGTCTCTATAAGCATTCTGCCTTCAGCTGTGGAGAGTACATGCCTTCTTGGGGGAGAGGATGATGTGATCCTCATGGAGCTTTGTGATCCATGATCATCACATTAAGAAAGTGAAAAGAAGACTGTTGATCTTCAATAAGTTGTTTCTAAATCATAGAATCATAGAGTTGGGAAGAATCTCAGAGGTCATAGATCTTTTTCTATGCAGCATCAGTTAAAGCTAGGATAGTAAAACTGACTTAATACTGTATATTCAATTCTGGGGAGTGAAATATTTTCCCAGATACAATCTTTTTATGGTTTAAATGTTTAGAAAATGAAAGTAAATAAGACAAAGAAAAATGTACTAACTTTGCCCTTAATTGATAGATGCGTAATCAGGATTTTTTTTAAAAAAAAAAAGTTTGGCTTTAAATAGATAATCACTTCTTATTTTTTACTTTCTCCTCCAGGGTTCAACAGTAGCAAGAGAAGCCAGCGACAAAGAAAAGGTAAAAGTCAAAGTTAAAGAAAGATTTAAAATAAAAATCTTTGTGTTTTGAATATTAACCTATAAAATGTTACTTTTGTATCACTACTTCTAACAGTACTTCTATTTTTTTATTTTAAAAAGAAACTGCATTTTTAAAAAAGGCTATATTTGATAATCAAAATTGTATATAAAAATAAAACAGTTTAATAGAATCTGGCAATAATACATAATATTAGCAGTTTGATATAATATTAAAATAAGTGTTAATTAGTTCTTAAACAATTAGTGCTTATCAAAATAAACATGTTTTTATTCTGTATGGCTTAAGCTCTTGTTTGGGAGTAGAATGTTTGTTCTAATCCAGGATGGGTTATCCTTTTAGTGTTTGAGAGTTGATTAAATGCCACTCAGACGTCAGTCAAAAATGGATATCCTCTCTCCTCCCCTTTCTCCCCTATACATAAGCACGTAAGCCCAGGCATACATTTAAACATGCAGGCATTGGTTGTGGTTCCTCAATTATAAAGAAAAAACTGCCAGCAGGTCTGCTTCTGAGACTCCTCAAAATACATTTATTCCGAGATTCCTCTTGTTGGGATTGGGAGCAATACAGACATAGTAAGCATGAGCCAAAGGCAGTTGAGACAGCATTTTTCCCATTGGACTTCTCCCTTTCAGGTAGTCTTCAACTTATGACTGTTCATTTAATGGTGGTTTGAATTAGTGATGGCCATGGAAAGGGTGCTGTCCTAACCATCGCAGTGCAAGTGTCTCTCTGCTCAAAGGCTGAAAATACTGCTTGGATTTCAGCAGAGAGGATTTTCAATTTCGGAGCTGAGAGACACTCACATGTGACCTGCACTGGAACTTCTAGGGCTCTTCTCATGCCCATGAGGCAATCTTACCTGGGATTCTGTCCACTTAATGACCTGTGAGATAGCTTAATGATCAAAACCAGGAGTACTGAAGCTGCAGTCATTGAGTGAAGCAGTGAAATGACCTCTTGCTTAACAGCCACTTTGCTCAAGATTCCAGATGCAGTTGGTCATAAGTCAAGGACTATCTGTAGTATAAATTATATGGGCACTCAAAATTATTTGCATTTCACTTCATACGTCACCATGAATACAGTGTCAAAACAGCTCTAGAAGTCACTTTGGACTCTCTAGTTGAGACAGAACGTGGAAGCAGCAGGTACTAGCAGTGAAGGAAAACACAGTTGGAAGGAGTAAAGTAGAAAATGGCAGAATTGGAGGGGAGATCTGGGGTGCACCTTGAGGGGACCATTGAAGATCTTATGTTGGCTGAATGCTACCTATAAGCATCCATGACTGTAAATGTCAAGAGACAAAACAGTATTTATCCCTTCTCTTGCTGTTTGAACTTCTAATTGTGTTACTATTGCCTCCATATAATTTAATGAATTATTTGAATTAGATTGATTACTAGATGTATCCATGCTCTGCCCCATTCTCTCTTTCCCCAGTTAATATTAGTGTGATCCCATAGCATATAGAACTGACCTAGTTCTTTGCTTCATGAACCCAATCTTTTTTTAATAAAGAAAATGCTTCAATTATTATTTTATTTATTTTTTGCAACATCATTCTGAGGTGGGGCAACAAGGCTTCGAACATTAAAGAATAAAAACATTGAAATACTATTGCACTGTTGGACATAAGCAATCTAGGCAGCCAATAGGGTAGGATAAAGATGATATATGTCATAGAAAGCTGAACCTGAAGTTAATACTATAAGCAGAGAATGAGCCTTTTCAAGAGCAATAAATGTGTTTCCTAATCACCTAATTGGTGAAAGAGAGCCAGTTTAGTGTAGCGGATAAGGCACCAGTTAGAAAACATGAGACCATAAATTCCAGTTCTGTCTTAAGCACAAAGCCAGTTGAGTGACCGTGAGCCAATCATTCTCTCTCAGCCCTAGGAAGAAAGCAATGGCAAATCACTTCTAAAAACTCTTGTTAATAAAACTGCAGGAACTTGTCCAACAATAACAACAAAAACTGCTGAAAACAAGGACAAGACTGATTGTTGTCCTGAGCTAGGAGTTTTACAATCCTTCCGGCTGTGGGAAACTACCGTGTTTCCCCAAAAATAGGACCTACCCCAAAAATAAGTTCTAGCCTGATTTTCATGCCTGTGCCAATTATAAGCCTATCCCGAAAGTCAGCCCTACTTAAGAGCCTGTGCAGCCGTCCACCTGGCCACTGTTTGCTTGCTGCTGACATGAAGTGGGGGGGGGCCCGCGGCCACAAAGCGAGGTGTTGGGGAGGGTTAAGGACGAAGTGAGGTAGGTGCGGTGCTGCCCCACGCACCCCAGACCGGCTGACAGAGGGCCCCGCAGCCAGGCCATCAATGTGCTGACAACTGCCTGGCCTTGCAGCAGTGGATCCAGCAACCCCATGCAGGATCGCCAGTCCGCTTTGCCCTCCATCCCACCACTGCCTCGCTTAGTAGCTGCAGCACCGGTGCATCACTCAGTCTCCTGTTTTGTTGCAGCAGTGAATAAAAAGAAGAAGCGGGCCGGCAATCCTGCATGGGGCTGCTGGAGCTGCCGCCATGAGGCCAGGTAGTTGTCAGCACGTTGATGGCCTGACTGCGGAGCTCTCTGTCAGCCCTTGCGGGGCGCATGGGACAGCTGTGCACCCCCCACCTCGCTTCATCCTCCACCTCCTCACTGTCTTGCTTCGTCATCTATGATGCTTATTTTGGCAACCCCAAAAAAATATAAGACCAGGTCTTATTTTCGGGAAAACACTGTGTGTGTGTGTGTGTGTGTGTGTGTGTGTTCAGAATGGATGACATCATCCAGGAATCCTAAAGATGTCCTTACTATGTAGCCACATCAGATCAAAGAACATAGGTCAGGAAGATGAGGAATTGCTTAAAGACAGTCCATCGTAGTCAATTTAGTATAGGTGTGACAGGAATTGCCCTTAAAAGTTTCTTGTTTTTATCATGTATATACCTTCCTGAAATCTATGTGGCTTTGGCTCCTGGGTTTGCCAGCTGTGTGAGGCTTGACAACAAAATGGAAAGACCAATTCCTAGGAGGAGTCTCTTTTTGAAATGCTTTCTTCTTCTGGGTTGTGTTGTTTTTCTGATCTAACCTGCAGTCCTTCTCTACTTCCTTCCCACAATCTCTCACAAACCTTTAATTTTAGCCCAGCAGTTTGCCATCAATATTTTCATGTTTTTTTAATTATTTCCTCAAAGTTGATGGAATTGCCTCTGCCCCAACTTCAGCAAGCAGTATATTGAGCTGCTTTGGATTGTATAATATGGAAGCAATGTTTTGCACTTACTTGAGTTCAATCCTTCTCTCTAGGCTAAGGATCTACCAACCTTTAAAGACAATGATTTTCTAAATGAAGGCCAAAAACTCCATGTTGGAGAGGAATGTAAAAAAAATTTCCTGGAGAAATTGAAGCGAGATGTTGAGGTAGGGTAGCTAAGCTGTTGATTTTTTGGGAATTGGGCATAACTAAAAACTGGGATCAACAGAATCTCCTCTGTTACAATAATTTTAAAGCTCTTTAAAAAGCTAGATAAAGTAGAGATATCTGGTTGATTCTGTCTCAGACTCTAAAGTAAATTTAAATTAATTTGAAAATCTATTAGAAAAAGCAGACAGAGGAGTTTATTTTACTGTCTCTTGCATTCACTTTGGGGATTTCCTCCTTCATCTTACTCAAGAATAATAGAGTTTTCCATAACTTATGATCAACAGAAATGAGTGTTACTCCTACCAGTTGCAGAAAGAATCTATGGTGCCTTCTCTGACTGACAAGCTTTGTTGGATTGTTTAATCAATTTAGTTTTAAACAGAATGCAGACCTCAAAGTGCAACAGATCTTAAAATGACCATTTTGGAAAAGTTCAGGATCATTTAAGTGAGAGATTGTTGAAGTCATAAATACCAAAAAGTTTTAGACAATATTTCTACAAATATAATTGTTTCTTTAGCATATTACAATTGTTAATTGATTAGGTACTTGCAGTCTAATATGTAACCTGCACTTTCATAACTAACTTATCTTCCCTTCCACCTCATCCCATTTTAAACCCTACATCATTCTAGCCATTCTATGCAAAGTTGCAAAGTCACAAAAATTTATTAAAACTTTTAATAAAATATGTTAGAAAATGTGCCACCAGTTGCCACCATCAACTAAAAATATATACCTTCTGTAACTCTGTAACCCGAAGAATTCCAAGTAATCATATAAAAATGCTTTGAGATTTATGGCACTTAATATTTGGATCTGGTGCCAAGTTAATGAAAGATAGTTTAACTCAAATCCCATAGGTGATATAGAGACATTGAAAATGAGAAGAAATATTTTTTCTGTTGGCTTCCAGTTTCTTGCACAACTGAAGATCATGGATTACAGTTTGCTGGTAGGGATTCATGATGTTGATCGAGCTGAGCAAGAAGAAATGGAAGTTGAGAACCGGGCAGAAGATGAAGAATGTGAGAATGATGGCATAGGTGGGAATCCAATTGGTTCCTATGGTACGCCACCTGACAGTCCTGGTAACCTTCTCAATTTCCCACGTTTCTTTGGGCCTGGGGAGTTTGATCCATCTGTGGATGTCTACGCTATGAAAAGCCATGAAAGTAAGTACTGGGATCTGGATGTTGATGGTGGGAGTGGAAGATAAATGTAAAATTGTCTGTGAAAGCCAAGAATCTGATTGTAAGCATCATGGTGGTTATTTGAACCAACATTATTTTCTCCACTTTCTTGGAAATCTTAAGACTGACTCCCTGAACTACAGCAGTGTATCCAATAAAGGTGCCTTAATTACAGATATCCCAGTTTAATTTTCCCTATAGTGTGTAGCCACTATAAGAGTGGCTATAAGGGTAAGAGTGTCTATTTAAGAGCAAGGTCAGAGATCAGACAGAGCTCATCTATATCCTAAAAGAATTTAAAGCAGGATCAAGAATAATTTGCAACACAGAAGGGTTCTGTGATAAGAGAAAATAACTTGGATGTCTTTTCTAATACACAAATGCCCAGAAGATGTTCATGCCCTTTAGCTTTGTCCGTTTTTCACTATGCCTACAGGTAGTCCTTGATTTACGACCATTCATTCAACAACCATTTGAAATTATAACAGTGCTGAATTAAATGATTTACAATCTATGCCCAAAGTTATGTCCATTACAGTTCCCCTGTGATTAATGTGAACAAAATTTGGCAGCCTGTTCACAAATATGACTCCAAGGGACGGGTATAGCTCCCTTTTTACATATATCTATCTCCTCCAATCTCTATAGCCCGCCAGCACATGAAAACCTGCCGCAGCCCTGTAGGCCTTGATTGGCTACAGGGATCGCCAGTATGCAAAAAACTGGTGGCTACCTAGTCCATCAGCACATACAAAGAAGCCTATTTACCTTCACAATTTTGTTCAACTGTTGACAAGCATGTGCAGTCTAAGGTGCAGCCTTCCTCTTAAAAACACCTTGCACTATTCTCCAAATGGGCTCCGTTCTTTGGAATCTTCCTCCAAGTTGCCCAATTTGGAGAAGGAGGCTTCCAAAGGATTGTGAAAATAGAACTGGTTCTCATGGTGCTTTAAAAGCATTCACAAAAATGTGCAATTTGGTGTGCCCTAAAGCTTGTAAAGACCCCCCAAGGAACCCCCACAATCCTTATCCTGGGCTCCCTCTGCTGAACAACTAATAAGATCTCTTAACAACCACAATTTGGAGTGCTAATATTGCGGTCATTGAACAAAGCAGTCACATGATGTCTTGTTTAATGATTGCTTTTCTTAACTGATATTCCAGTCCCAATTGTGATCATAAGTTGAGGAGTACTTATATTTATTTTGAATAGCCCTATAGATGAATAGCCAACTTATGAATACAATTGGGACTGGAATCTTATTGAATGGAATAGTTGTTAAGCAAGATGACTATGTGACTGCTTCCCTCAACAATTATAATCCCAGTTCTCCCAGTTGTAGTTGTTAAGTGGACAGAATAAAAAAGCTACCTGCTGAAAGAAGACATCTAGTACACCTCTTTGTGTGTGGAAGGGAACCCATGCACTGGGCTGGAGAAATGAGGCAGGGATCACAAAGGTCCTTTCTTTGCACAAATACTTCTTTCCTCCATATATACTGTAGAAGGGAACTCATGTTGGGTGGGAAAGATGAGATGGGGATTGTCAGTATTCTGCTTCATCTCTCCAGCTCAGTGCACAACTTCCATGAGTGAAGGGAAATTATGTGCTGGACTAGAAAGATCATGCAGGGATGGCAAAGACCTGAGCTTCAATTCTGCAGCCTGATTAAGGATTTGTACAACAACTCGTAGCTTATATAGAGAGAAGTGTAAATCCTTCTGCAAGTGGCAGCAACTTCTAGCCTTCCATGCTAACTTCCCCATTAACTTTCTGAGGAAGCCAGCAGAGAAGATTGTAATGGCAATTGCATGATCATGGGACACTCAACAATCAGTTGTAAATGTGAGCAAGTTGACCAGTACCAGCATGATTATGTGACTGTGATGGGGGAGGGAGTAAGTTTTATGATAGCTGGAAATGCTTTAAGGGCCATAAAGTACCCTTTTGAAGCTGAAACATCAAATGGTCATTAAATGACCGATGGTGTAATGAGGATTACCTATATTCCAAAGTTTTTTTAAAAAGATTCTTACTCTCAAGTATACCATAGTTGAAGAGAAAACTGCTCTGCATATCCTAAAATTATCCACATACTTCATCTTCTTCCTCAGTTAATATTTTCACTGTTTTAGGTACTGCCTGAAGCATCTGCTGAGTAAAAATCTACTTCTTGGATCATTTATCAGGCCTAAAAAATTCTGGAGTGCTTAATTGTGTTTGCAGTTCAATAAGAATAGCAAACCCTAAAAATAGTTCTGATAAATTTCCCTCTCCTGTTTTAAACAGGTGCCCCTAAGAAGGAAGTATATTTCATGGCCATTATAGATATCCTTACACCTTATGACACAAAGAAAAAAGCAGCGCATGCTGCCAAAACTGTGAAACATGGGGTAAGAAAGAACTATTTCTTTGCATTGATCTCATTGTGCTTAGACAAGCATTATCACATTTTATAATATATTTCAGAACTGAAGCCACAGTTGGTTGAGAGTGATCCAGAATTGTGAAAGGGAAGCAGGGGTGCAACCATTTAATATATAAATTGATGGGGCTGAGACTTCCATGGGGTTTTTATCTTTTTTCTTTCAGTATATTATACTTGTTTGAGATTATACTATGCTTTTTATCATTCATATATCACTCAAAATGATAGCAATTTTTCAGGAATTCTGGTTGCAAAGGGCTTTAGAATTTGCAAAAAATAATGAAATGCTGGAATAGAAATTTTGTTACATAAAAGCCACATAGAGTAAGCTACATCACATTTTTCACCTTCTTATCATTTTCGTTGTTGTTTTCTAGCCATTTTGCAGCTTCCAAATAAATACATCAGGAATATTTTAATGTGACCACACCAAAGATACATTTTTATATGATTTTTCTATTGCTGTTGTTCTGTCTTTTGTTTCTGTGTATATTTCAGTTCTTTACACACACACTCTTGCAAAATATGTCCTTTCAATGAATCTTTACATGACTCACTTCTTAAATAACCTTGTCTAGTTCAACTCTGCCCATCAGGGTCTCATCATCCAAAGCCATAGGTTACAGAATGCTAAATGAGGTCCAGAATGAAATTAATGCAGAAAATATTTGCAACACTCAGAAGTTAGAGCTGAGGCTGTTAGGATAACAATGTCTCCTTCTAGTCCAATATACCTTTTCAAATGGGCATGATCCAGTGCCTTTCTGCTCAGTTTTTCTTTTTTTTTTTCACCTACCTTAGCAATATTTTTAAGAGGACTCTTGGTTTTCTGATAATTTTTTCTCAATAAAATGCTAATTCCAGGTTTTTTTTTCCTAATGTTCAATTAGAACATTGTTACAATGTTCTAACTGAACATTGTAACAACATACTTTTGTGCAGGTGATGAAGTCACTGTTAGGGTGGCAGTCTTACTCTTTCCATAATCCTAAGGTTAGGCTGCATCACCTTTCAGGCAAGTGCCTTTGTTCCTCTGCCTGCACAAAAAGCATGAAAAAGAGGATGTAACCACATTTTTCTGGTGGCTATATAAGGGCCTGTTCAAGCTGTTCTGCCTCTCTGTTGCAGGTGATTATTTAGCTGTCTCTAAACTGAGCGGAAACACAAGAAGATAGCTTTGCCCCTTGGAACATTCAAACAGCACTGGGATTGGAGAGCTAGTATAGTCAGAAGATGTTTAAAACATCATCAGCTGAACAATTTTTCTTCATAAATATCCATGGATAATATGTAGTTTGTAAGACATTTTCTACTAAAGATTCTGAAGAGAGTGAATCAATATAGTGCCATTTGCTACCTCTCTGAGTTTTAAAAACTTGGGGCAACCTCTTTAAAGGAATGACTGATGCCACTTTTTATGCTTGAATGAAATTATATGTGCTTTAAGTTCTCTATTTTGTTTTCCAGGCTGGAGCAGAAATTTCCACTGTCAATCCCGAGCAGTATTCAAAACGCTTCAATGAATTTATGTCCAATATCCTGACATAGTTGTCTTCCTGTTATTGGCAGAAAAGGAGGGAGAAGAATAGTAAAGGGTGGGGGGTAGTATTTCCAGTGCTACAGGAATGCAGTCTGCTGGGCATGATATTCTGTGAGTGTGTGATGACAGCCTGACCTAGCAGAAAACTAACCTCTAGATACGGGCTTTCAAACCTGGTGGAAAAATGAGATTATTACTCTCTTCTATATTGGTTGCTACAATAAATATCCAAACATAAACCTGAGGAATAAGGTAGTGTTAAAATTTGCACTTTTCTTTGAAAAGCATCAGTCTCCAAATGGTCAGATGTTAATATGAACACATAACAGAAGATATAAATGATGGTTTCCTTCGATTGAACTATGGCTGTTCACTCAGAGCAAATTCTCTTTGTTGCTTTCTCTAAGGATTGGACAAGAGATGACCTGTCATTTCAAGGACAAGAACTATTATAAAGATTAAGGAAAGCCATTTTAAGTTAGTTGAACAAAGACTTTTTACTTCTGGTCTTTTGATATCCCACTTTCTTTTCTGCATTGTTATTTCAAAAAAAGATGAGAATATGAGGGAATTAGATAGCTGCTTAAAGTTTTATGCAATCAAGGGAGGGAAAAAACCAGTTTCAGAAGAATCCACATTTCTAATAAAATATGATACAATTTCTTGGTGGAGATCATGAAGAGATGAGATAACTTCATGAAAATAATATCTTGATGAGCTGCAGATATATTTGTACTGAGTTGGTTACAAATTGGATTAAGTTATCTCTAATATAATGATCTACCAGAGTTAAATTATTCAGATTCAATCTTTTATACTTTGATCTGGTTGTAAATGCTGTAAAATGATACTTTCCTGTTTAAAAAAAAGGTACCACTTCTTTGTAACATCTTATACTGTGAACCATTATATTAGAAATATTAGCTTTTGATCATTCCATTTGGGAAGAATCCACTCTCAATATGGGGAAAATGTAATAAATTGCAGCTTGTCCTGCTAATCCAGATTTTTGAAAAAGTTGCACTAGCTCTGTTTTCTTTTAAAAATCCAAATTGTTCTTGCCTCATTTGAATTACAACTTTTTCTTGTAAGTTACAGACTGATATTGGATTTCATAGCTGTACTTGTCAAAACTGAAGGTTTTGAATTCACTAATTCCATTTTTTCAATATTCTTGGATTTGGCAAGTTATGATCCATCAACTTGCAATCAAGACACTTTGCTTACTTTTACTGTTTCTTACACATGCCTTTTTTGTGTGTGTGTGTGTGTATGTGATTGTTAGGGTGTTAATGTCCTGTGCCTTCTGCTTTGTAGATTCTGTCATTTTGGGAGTAAAGTAATTTTTTTTTCTTTGTTGCCCTCAAGTATGTGTATTTTTTCAGATGGGATTTTTCACATTTATAAACAAAAAATTCCACAGCTCACATCGTGATTACAAAGTCATAAAATAGTTTGAAAGGCTTAAAAATCATAGAATATATATAAGATTTTGTTAAGGCATAAATGAAACTGTAAATTAGAGATTTCAAGGTTCTTTTTTCCACCTAGATTTCAAAGCAGATTTCTTTTATTAGAAGCCACAGTATTTAACTGACTATATCATAAAATTTATGTGAATTTAAAAACTTATTTCAAAAGGCAGGCATGGATGAGGGTATGTTGATAGGTTGTAAAAAATTTTGAAAGTCAAAGGAAATGGTGCACTCAGAAGTCCAATGTGAAATAGAATATAGGAATTTCATTTTCAGCTTTTGTTTAAATTTTACAAAGTAAATTTTGATTAACTTGATAAGCGTTAGTCCAAAATAATCTGTTTTTAACGTTTTTACAAATATTTGCCAATCTTAATCTATTTAGGAGTTAGTCAGTACACAGTTTAAAAAACCATGAAAAGATATGTTTCCTGGTTGATTCATTTATAAAAGACATTTGAAACAACCATAAAGGGCACTCAGACAGAAAGAGCAAACTCTCCATCTTTGCCTACCCTTATTTTCTCTTCCCAGTCTTCTCTGGCCTTTACTTCTCTAGTCTGTATCCCGCTGTCTCCAGTTCCTCAATCCACTTCCATCAGAAGTTTTTCTCTTTAACATCTTAAACATCCTGTTCTTTAGTCTTCAGCTGCCTTCTTGCCCTGACAAAAGCCACCAGACCCACTAAGTTGCTACTGGTTCTATTCTGTGCTCATTGTTTAAAGTTCTCCTCTTTGATGTGCATACTTTGTGCTTAGATGTTGAATTTGACTTTTACTCAGCTAGCTCTCAAGATTATTCGGAATATAACTCCCTGTTTGATTTTTGGTTTCTGTCATACATGCCATTAAATGGTTAGTCCTTACTGCTAAAATTTTGCCATTGTTTATAACATATTATCTTTGCCATCTCCCACTCCCATATTTGTGCCTTTTGTTATGCTGCCCTCTATCAGAAACTTTTAATTCTTTCATCTGAACCTATCTTAAAGTCCTATATAAGCAAAATTATAACTGGCTTTTGCCTCTAGTCCCATTTCATCCTTTCTCTGTCCTCTTGACTTAATATTCAGAACTCTGCTCTCAGGTGGTGCTCAGATCCATATGACATTTGGATCTACTAACAGTTGTGGAATTTTTTCCCCCTTGATTATTTGCTTAATAGAAAAATTGTTTAATGATTTGAAATCTTCAACAGATATAGAAAAGGCCCAGTGGGGGAGATCAAGAGAGATGTCAGCAGCCTTTTTAATTCAGGTTTCCCCAAACCAAATATCCTTGAGATGCTTTAGTTTACAACTCCACCAAACATAGGATTTGTAGACATTATACATCTGGAAAAACTGTTGGAAAAACTGTAGTTTCTTACACCTACATACAGAGACTTAAAATTTTCTCACTGGGAATTTCTACGTTAACATTCTTGTTTCTTGCCATTCACATCCAAAATTTTAAACAGAAAATGGAATTGCATGGAAATCTTTTGTTTCCATGACACAGCATTAGGATTTTTCCCTTCTTATAAATATTAAATTCATCTGGCAGTGCAGTGAGAATGATGTACACAGTAAATTCTGATCAAGGCATTGCCTGTAATGCTACATGAGAGATGGGAGGAAAGGAACATACTTCATCTCTTCAGAGTATTGTTAGTTTTGACAGAGAAGACCTGTGATTAGACAGTCTTTTGCTCTTCCTTTCTTGTTCCTATCTCCTAGCTTGTATCGGTGATCCCTCCCTCCCCTGGTGTCCTTAAATACATCACTCTAAATATAGCTAGTACGTTTTCCCCTGTAACTGCAAGGATAGCACTGGCAATACAATTTTATTTCCAATTCAGTATGTCCAAGAGTCCTTTTAAAACTCATTGACTTGTTTTTCTACTCCAAATTTCATTCCTATAAAGGGCATGCTTATTGGCACAATTTATTCATCAGCCTAGTCTGAAAATTGTCCCCATGCTTTGTTGTGTTGCAGAAGAGCCCATGTTGGATCAGAAGCAGATGAATACTAAACTATTTGGAGATTTAGCAGAATGTATAGCCATTAGTGCATAGAACTATAGTCTTCTAGGTCAAGGACTTTGGAAATCAAACAGATTTCTTGTTCATCAATTCATGCAAGGGAATGTCAATAGCCATTTTATTTCTTCCCAGCGTGCATCTTGTTACAGTTGCAATGACCCTAAGGTATAGCTAACACATTACAGAAAGGAACTATTTTTTTCATTACATCTATGATTTATCTTTTTAAAAATATATATGTGGAGCAGACTTATAACTTACGAAAGTTAGTGACTATTTGGAGAATTTTGGGGCTTATGTGTTAGTCTTGTTCCTAAGTATAGACTTACACATGTACATTCTCAGTTGGATTGTCTAGCCAAAGAATGCATATTGTTGATGGTAGTCTTAGCTTTCTTCCATCTCCTGTTTTGTGGAATGTACTTCCCCAACCCAGTGTCCTCCAGCTATATTGTAGCATACTTCCCGGCATTGTTAATTAGCATGCCTATTCTAGAGTGAGATGGAAATCCTATTCTAGAAGAAGTTTTTGTTGTCATCTAAAAATATTATCTTCAGGGGGAATATATACTAATAGTTTCAGCTTTGGCTATCATGTTTGAGGAAGAAAAACTCAACTTTGTTCAATGTATAGTAACTTTCACTGCACTCATTGATGTATCCCAACAGTCTATATTGTTAGGTGGTTACCTCCAGGCAGTTAAGCTGGAATTTCCTGCACTGGAAAAAATGTTGAATGTGGGATTTTTAAGGGCTACACTGCAGTAGATGGTGACAATCATCTTCAATCATGTCTATTACATTCATGTGTAGAGGAAGGGCTGGGGAGGGTATCATTAGAAAGCACTTGGATGAAAATGAAATCTTATAAACACACATAAATATTGATGGCTAGCTATAAGACACATGGTCAAATAAAGTTTGCACTTCTTCATTATCTAAGTCTATGGTATAGAGCCTGATATGAGTGTGTGCAATGCCATCCCAGGCAATCTTTCAAAATTGTATTAATTGTGAAATCATATATTATTTAAAAAGATAAAGGAAATGAGACATTTCTGTTCCAGCTATTATCAATCTCTTTCTAATTGTATGCTTGAATACCATATGAATATATTCAACATATTAATATATAATCATATGGCATTTAAATGTATTATAAAAGTTCAAGCTGTTGCATAATGGCAAGCAGGCAATTAAATTTGAATCTCCAACTAATAAAAAAATAGGTTTTTCATACCTTTTCTAAAATAAAAATTTAAAGTCAATGTGCTTATAAAGTATGAGACACTGTTTTGAAATGCATGTATGTTAACAAGGTGTGAAGTCTCTCAGGTGGGTTGAACAAAATAAAAATGAATTTTTTGTGTAAAACTGCTTTCAGGGTTTTCTTTTTCTTCCCAAAATAAACAGTTACAAGAATGAAAAAGCTGTTTAGGCTTAAAGATTTGGTTCTTAGATTCAAAATAATAACTGCATATGTCAACATACTGAAAATATATATAGAAATTTTTATTTAGATTTTAAGAATCGCCATCTTGGGAACAAAGACCCACAATTCTTGTGCAAGATCGTGGTCCGAGATGAAGAACTTGTTTTCGACAGAAGTGTGAATCAGGTGTTACACATCAGTCATGCAAGAACAGAAAGGCATCCAAAAAGAGAAGCCACATTCTGGTTGGTGATTCAATTATAAGGGATGTAAATTTAGGAAAGGACACAGATTTCAAAAGAGGCCAGGTGTCTTCCAAGTGCTACTGCCAGTAGGGACAAGAAACGTATTTCTAAAATAATCAAGAATGCAAGCAAGGACTGTGATGTGGAGGCTATTGTACATCTTGGCACTAACGATCTGTCCCCAAAAAATGTAATCTCTGTGCAGAATGATTTCCAGAGCTTGGGGCAGGAACTTAGCAGAATAGGCTGTAGGCTTACTTTTACCAGTGTTTTAAGGAGCAAAATGGAAAAGGCCAGCGTATAGCACAATTCAATATGTGGCTAAAGGAGTGGTATAAAGGGGAAAGCTTTGGATATATTAGGCACGATGTCGGTAGCTGGTCCAATGGAAAAAAGAGATGGTTTGCATCCATCAAAGAAAGGAACTGAGTTACTCGGCTATAAATTCACAGATTTTCTGGAGAAATATTTAAACTAAATGGGGACAGTGAGTTAATTGATACAGAACAAAGAACTCTCTGATACTGAAAGATAAAAAGGACAAGTATAGAAATTGGAAAAAGGGGCACATAACTAAGTCAGAATATCAGCAAATAGCCCGAGCTTGCAAAGATGAAGTGAGGAAAGCTAAGGCTCAAAATGAACTAAGGCTTGCGACCAAAGTCAAAAATAACAAAGCTGCTTTCAACATGTAAAAAACAAGAAAAAAGTGAAGGAAATGATTGGTCCGTTAGTGGGTGAAAGTGGCAAGAAGGTGACAAGCAACAGGGAAAAAGCAGAACTATTTAACTCGGTTTTTGCATCTGTCTTTACACAAAGGGGAAAAACAGACCAACCTATCAAAAATAGTGCCATAAAAAACAGAATAGAAACACAAGATAGGCAAGAAAATGGTAAGTGAGCACCTGTCCAGCCTAGATGAGTTCAAATCGCCAGGATCAGGGATTATACCCCAAGATTCTCAAGGAACTGGCAGATGTAATCTCGGAACCACTGAACTATATTTTTCAAAGATCCTGGAGCACTGGGACTGGACTGGAAAAGAGCTGATGTAGTTCCTATCTTCAAAAAAGGGAAAAAATGGGGGGGGAGGGAAAAAATGGATCCAGGAAATTACAGACCTATCAGCCTGACCTCAATACCTGGGAAGATTCTGGAAAAGATAAACAACAAATCAGCGAACACCTAGAGGCAAACAAAATCATGACTAAAAGCCAACATGGGTTTGTCAAAAACAGATCATGCCAGAGAAATCTTATTGCATTCTTTGACCAAGTGCAAAATTAGTGGCCCCTTTATGGATTACTGCCTTGTCGTGGCGAAGGGGCTTGCGTAACTCAATGAAGCTATAAGCTATACCGTGCAGGGCCACCCAAGGCGGACAGGTTATAGCAGAGAGTTCTGACAAAATGTGATCCACTGGAGAAGGAAATGGCAAACCACTCCAGTATCTTTGCCATGAAAACCCCATGGACAGTACTAAAAGGAAAAAAGATATGACGCTGGAAGATGAGCCCCTCAGGTCGGAAGGTGTCCAATATGCTACTGGGGAAGAGCAGAGGGCTAGTACTAGTAGCGCCAGAAAGAATGAAGCGACTGGGCCAAAGCCGAAAGGACGCTCAGCTGTGGATATATCTGGTGGTGAAAGGAAAGTCCGATGCTGTAAAGATTTTTTCTCCATAGGAACCTGGAATGTAAGATCCATGAATCAAGGCAAGCTAGACGTAGTCAAAAAAGAGATGACAAGACTGAACATCGACATCTTAGGAATCAGCGAACTAAAATGGACAGGAATGGGTGAATTTAACTCAGATGACCATCAGGTATACTACTGTGGGCAAGAATCCCTCAGAAGAAATGGAGTAGCCTTCATAGTCAATAAAAGAATAGGAAAAGCAATACTGGGATACAATCCTCAAAATGACAGAATGATCTCAATTCGAATCCAAGGCAAACCATTCAATATCACAGTAGTCCAAATCTATGCCCCAACCACTGGTACTGAAGAGGATGAAATTGACCGGTTCTATGAAGCCCTACAGCACCTTATAGAATTAACACCAAAAAATGATGTCCTTATCATCATGGGGGATTGGAATGCTAAGGTAGGAAGCCAAAAGATAACCGGAATAACAGGCAAGTTTGGACTTGGAGTACAAAATGAAGCAGGGCACAGGCTAATAGAATTTTGTCAAGAGAATACGATGGTCATAACAAACACTCTTTTCCAACAACCCAAGAGACGGCTCTACACATGGACATCACCAGACGGTCAACATAGAAATCAGATTGACTATGTGCTCTGCAGCCAAAGATGGAGAAGCTCTATACAGTCAGTAAAAACAAGACCAGGAGCTGACTGTGGCTCAGATCATGAGCTTCTCGTTGCAAAATTTAGGCTTAAATTGAAAAAAGTAGGGAAAAGCACTAGGCCACTCAGGTATAAACTAAATCATACTCCTGATGAATATACAGTAGAGGTGACAAATAGATTTAAGGAACTGGATCTGATAGACAGAGTGCCTGAAGAACTATGGATGGAAGTTCGCAACATTGTACAAGAGGTAGCAACTAAAACCATCCCAAAGAAAAAGAAATGCAAGAAAGCAAAATGGCTGTCTGAGGAAGCTTTGCAAATAGCTGAGGAAAGAAGGAAGTGAAAGGCAAAGGAGAAAGAGAAAGATACACCCAATTGAATGCAGAATTCCAGAGAGTAGCTAGAAGAGATAAGAATGCCTTCTTAAATGAACAGTGCAAAGAAATAGAAGAAAACAACAGAATAGGGAGGACCAGAGATCTCTTCAAGAAAATTGGAGATATGAAGGGAACGTTTCATGCAAAGATGGGCATGATAAAGGACCAAAATGGCAGAGACCTAACAGAGGCAGAAGAGATTAAGAAGAGATGGCAAAACTACACAGAAGAACTATACAAGAATGAGCTTAACATCCCAGATAACCACAATGAGATGGTCACTGACCTCGAACCAGACATCCTAGAATGTGAAGTGAAATGGGCCTTAGAAAATCTGAGCAACAACAAAGCTAGTGGAGGTGACAGTATTCCAGCTGAGCTATTCAAAATCTTAAAAGACGATGCAGTAAAAGTGCTACACTCAATTTGCCAGCAAATTTGGAAAACTCAACAGTGGCCACAGGATTGGAAAAGGTCAGTTTACATTCCAATTCCAAAGAAAGGCAATGCCAAAGAATGTTCAAACTATCGCACCATTGCACTCATTTCACATGCTAGTAAAGTTATGCTTAAAATCCTACAAGCTAGACTCCAGCAGTATGTGGATCGAGAACTACCAGAAGTACAGGCAGGATTTCGAAGAGGCAGAGGAACTAGAGATCAAATTGCCAACATACGCTGGATCATGGAGAAAGCTAGGGAGTTCCAGAAAAACATCTACTTCTCCTTCATTGACTATGCAAAAGCCTTTGATTGTGTGGATCACAACAAATTGTGGCAAGTCCTTAAAGAGATGGGAGTACCAGACCATCTCATTTGTCTCTTTAGAAACCTATATGTGGGTCAAGAAGCAACAGTGAGAACCGAACACGGAACTACTGATTGGTTCAAAATTGGAAAAGGAGTCCGGCAAGGCTGTATACTGTCGCCCTGCCTATTTAACTTATATGCAGAGCACATCATGAGAAAGGCAGGGCTAGATGAATCAAAAGTTGGAATTAAGATTGCCGGGAGAAATATCAACAACCTAAGATATGCAGATGATACCACTCTGATGGCAGAAAGTGAAGAGGAACTAAAGAGCCTCTTGATGCGGGTGAAGAAGGAGAGTGCAAAAGTTGGCTTGAAACTCAACATTAAGAAAACCAAAATCATGGCATCCGGCCCTCTCAATTCCTGGCAAATAGATGGGGAAGAAATGGAGGTAGTGACAGATTTTATTTTTCTGGGCTCCAAGATCACCTCAGATGGGGACTGCAGCCAAGAAATTAAAAGACGCTTGCTCCTGGGGAGGAAAGCTATGGCAAATCTAGGCAGCATTCTAAAAAGCAGAGACATCACCCTGCCAACAAAAGTGCGTATAGTCCAGGCCATGGTTTTCCCAGTTGCAATGTATGGCTGTGAAAGTTGGACCATAAGAAAGGCTGAGCGCAAAAGAATTGAGGCCTTTGAACTATGGTGCTGGAGAAGACTCCTGCGAGTCCCTTGGACTGCAAGGCGTTCAAACCGGTCAGTCCTAGAAGAGATCAACCCCAACTGCTCCTTACAAGGCCAGATCCTGAAGTTGCAACTCAAGTACTTTGGCCACCTAATGAGAAGGAAGGATTCACTGGAGAAGAGCCTAATGCTGGGAAAGATTGAGGGCAATAGAAGAAGGGGACGACAGAGAATGAGATGGCTGGATGGAGTCACTGAAGCAGTAGGTGTGAATTTAAATGGACTCCAGAAGATGGTAGAGGACAGGAAGACCTGGAGGAATGTTGTCCATGGGGTCGCGATGGGTCGGACACAACTTCGCAATTAACAACAACAACATTAGTGGATCAGGGAATGTTGTGGATATAATAAAGTAGATCACAACCTACTACTTGATAAGATAGAAAAATGTGGGTTAGACAGCATCACCACCAGATGGATTAGTAGCTGGCTGTCCAGCCATATTCAGCGTATGGTCCTCAATGGAACCTCATCTATATGGAGGGAAGTGTGTAGAGGGGTGCCCC